ATTCATGGTAAACCACCTATACACATTAATTGTAAAAATATGAATACTAATTAATTATATAATAATTTGTACTTGTGTCAAATAGGTATAACGAAGTGTCCCAGTACAACTATGACACCACCGGTTTTTCGGGTGCCACTGGCCATTTTACCCAGTTAGTTTGGAAGTCGACCACTAATGTCGGTTGTGCTAGATGCTACGGTAAAGAGCCTGGTGGTCAATGGTATGAGACATACGTGGTTTGTAATTATAAACCAGCTGGCAACCAGAATAAATGGTTCAAGGAGAACGTGCTAAGACCCTGAGCAAATTAAAATGTTACAATAATTTTCAACAAACTGATAAATATTTTTATTATTAAATTTATTACTCCTCTTGATAAAGTTTTATTAATAAAATAATATTAATAATTACGTGAATTAAATATTGAGTTGTACTAAATAAATACAGTAAAATTAGCATCTAATAGTTGTGTAAAATATACCAGAAGTTTTGATATTTTAAATTTATATAAACCTATAATGTTTGCGACAAATTGTATGTCACAGTTTTAAAATAAAGTTAAATGTCATAGTTAATTAAGATTTACAAAATAGGAGTAAGCAAAATAAAGGATACTGTATCTCTTAAAATGACATTTAAATTGCTTCTCCCTCACTTACTCACACATTATTTGCAAATTATATATTCATTATGGTATAATTCTTTTACTAAAAATTATAGTTCATTATGACTACTCTAAGCTTATTTATTTAAATTACTACAAATACACAATACAATTTTAGTTTGTAATAAATATAAAAATTATTACTGAAACTATACCTGTTTAATTTTAACTTATTATAAAATGGACTATTGTACAAGAACTATTTTTATATTAATATGCTAGTTTAAAAATTATTTATAAGTTAATTATGATTTATAATAATTAATACTTCAGAATAATGACCAGAATCTCATAATTCATTTCAAACACAGAATACTATACTTAAGGAAAACTAATAAAAATATTGACATTTAAAAGTGTTTACCATTAATACCATCAAAAAAATACATTAAGTTCATAGACATAAGCGCAGCAACAGGTGATTATAGCACAGGGATGTAGCAGATAGAGCACAGGTATACTACACGTGTGGTGGCCTCACGTTTGACATCCATGTGCTCGTGAATACGCCTGAAACGTGACACCCATTTGCCATCCAAAGTGTTTCGCAAATAAAAAGTAATTGTTTTTCTGAAGTCTTTGACACAAGTCTTAGAAATACAACAAAAAAAGTCATTTATTTTTTGTACTAAATGTTTGTGTCGATGGACAGCAACGGGAACCGTATGGACACCGGTGTTGTCACCGGCAAGTGGTTGAGCGCGCCGTTAGCTAACGTATCGGTGGTGACGGCCGTGGATAAGGGGTTGAATGGCACCGACACCACCCCTGACACGGATGTAAAGCTCATGGATTTGGACGACTTCTTACACGGCATCGGCGTTCACATGACTCAGGAGTCCATGACTGAGGACGAGGGGGAGGGGGACGACAGTCTGGACTGTCAGCCCTCCACCACATCATACGCAGCGCCGGTAGTCAACGGTAGCCAACACTACGATATTACAGGAAACGGTGGACAGTTAGCTATCGGCACGGATGATACGCAGCGGTCGTACCAGCAGTCGGTGGTACAGGAGCTGAAGACCCATCCCATGCATAGGAAGTCCCGAAAACAGGTGACACCTGAGGAGCACAAGGATGAGAGGTATTGGACGAAACGGGCGAAGAATAACTGCGCGGCTAAGAGGAGTCGGGAGTCCCGGCGCCAGAGGGAGAACCAGATCGTCCTGAGGGCCAACTATCTCGAGCGAGAGAACCGGGAGCTCAAGAGGTACGTGAAAAGGCTGGAGGACGAGAACCGGGAGTTGAGAAAACTGTTGAGTGGAGGCGCCCGGTGCTGATAGTGGGTGAGCACCGGTATGTCTGTATTATATATTTGTTAAGTTTGTGGTTAAAGCTTATGTAAGAATATTCTGTGTGTTGTTAGGTATACATGTGTGATGTATATTAAAGGAAATGATAGGAAAGGTAGTCTAGGACCTGTTAGTATAAGAATTGTTAGGATAATGTTATGAAGTATCTGTTTATTAAACATGTTTTCACCATGATCATTATGCGGTATTAATGTGATAACTTTACACTCTATGACAGTATGATAAATATTGTATTTAAAAACTGTAAATAACAAATAAAGCAATTTATTTATTATTTATATTATTTTAATTCATATTAGTTGATATTATTTATTTGATTTCAGGCATTCATTAATTTTTATTTTTACATGATTAATATTTTTAATTAGTTTCTCATAAAATAAGTATTATTATAAATACCATATGTTATATTAAGTCTAATTAAATAATCAGTTTGCTATATTTTATTTATTGAATGTCAAACTATCAAAATGTATCATGAACATGTGACTATAATTTCAAAATGATTTCACACATTTTACAATGCAATTATTATGTATTTCACCTATCATTTAGATTATAAATAATAAAATTGAAATTAAAAACATTATATTCGCTTTCAATCATTTGAAACTGTAACTAATAAATTAACACGTTTATTTAACTTTTATAATTTTGATTATATATTTTATTGTTGGTGAATAATATACGTTTGATTAAATTTTAAATAAAGTATTACAAAACTTTAAATTATACTCACAAAAATAAACTAAATTATATTTTTACTTTTATTTTTCTAAAAATAATAATTATCACATGAAATGTAATATAATATATAAATTCATAGGCACATAAAACTATCACTATATTTATAACACAATGTAATAAAGTATACATAACATCTAATCTAGGAATTTTATAATAAATTTATGATACTTTTTACAATAAAAACATAAGCTTTTTACAATAGTCTACTATCTCATGATTTAGTAAACTTTGTATTTTTATGCCATGTATTTGTAAACTAAGGTCAGAAATAGTATAGTATTTTGCAACTTGTGTTTAGTTTTAGTTATTTGTATTAGTTTTGTGCAAATAATTCATTGAATAGTGTTATGCCTCTGAAACCTCCCGATGACAGTCACCTACGAAAGCAAAGTATATTCAGTATATTATCTGAGGCTTCAATTGAAGGTAAATATTCACCATGCTCATTATTATACATTATTTAATTGTGCCTGAATATTGTAATTAAAATTCTTAATTATACCTATTTAAATAATTTTATTTTAATACTAATATAATAAAACAAGTTTATTAATGAAAACCAAATACCAAGTTTATTGTACAGTACAGTACATAATACCAAACAATTTTATTGCTATTTATGTTATGTCAAGCAAATATTTAATTTACTAGTTTATTTGTTTGGAAGTATTAATTACAAATTACTTACTACAAACTTATTTAAAACTATTTACGTGATAAATTACTACCTATTAATTAAATCTCAAAAATAATTTCTTAATGAATACCCCCTAAGACTTCCCGACAATACACAGCGAGCGTACGCCCAGTATAGCCGTTATACTCAAGACATTAGCCACTAAACAGCACTCGAGGATCTCCGTAGAGTCACCGGAGTCTAAGA